CAGCATGGAATTCCGAGGGTGTCTGAGGTGTGTGCTTTTATGCAGGCTGGTTAATGAGGTGCTTGATTAGTGACAGGTGCTGGTGCTCAGAACTCAGGTGAGAGGGATCGTTGTGATTGGGTGGTGGCGGAGCCTGGCCGATCTGTTACAATATAAACACATATTTACTTTTTTTGTGGTAATCAACAATACGCCACAAATGTTGTCAATTGAGCTAAGTTTCTGCCATCATTTGCAGGTCAATATCACTGTGCGGTGCCTTTTGGTGTCCTGTACATAAATTACTAATTTGCCATGATAACTTAACATAAAAATGACTATGAAAGGGTGTGTTATATCAGGCTAAGTTGTTATATTCATTCCAAAAGCATATATCAGGCTAAGTTGTTATATTCATTCCAAAAGCATTACTTGGCTCTTTAGATAAATTTTCTAGATTTGTTTTAGTTTTGTGTAAGAGGATGCGTGTAATTTTGCTATGTCCCATGCACTGCTCATTAAATTTGAATGTATGAATATGTTAGTCTTAAGGTTATCTATAAGGCAGTGTGCTCCAAAACAGTGACAAAATTCGCATTTAGAAGATATAAGCATTCAAAGCTTGCAGTTCGTCACTTCCGCCAAAACGGCTCAACGATTTTTTTTTTTGACGTCACATCGTACTTCAGCTTCTCATCAAACTTTCTGTCCAATCAAATGCTCTCTAGAATCCGAAACGCCCGCCCCCTACACTATAAAATAGACGCTGAAGCCTCGGCTGAAATCGGTCACTTGTTCACAGAATTAGTATTTTCTGTACAGTGAATGGCACGTAGTGCACTATATAGGGGACAGGGAATGATTCAAACAGTGTAAATATGCTTTCCATTGAGAAAAAAAAAAAGTCTGGTTTTGCGCTATGTCATGCTAACCACCGCACACATTCTGCTCCGGTCCAGAGACACGTTAGCACGGAGCGGATCACATGCACGAGTCGGCGCAGACCACAAAATGTATCGGAGCTATTTGAATTCTACACAGAATGCTATATTTTATAGCAATATGGATGAGATTGTGGCTGGCATACCTTGTCAAATGCGGCTTTACGCAGCTCAACGGCTCTGAACGGCTCTAGCCCAAGCTGTGATATAAACAAATGCTATTGGCTATTTTAAAAAGGGGCGGTATGATATGTCCCGCCCTGTCTTCCTGTTTCAGTTAAAATGACGTCAACACATAGAGTAACATGTTTGCGTGTTTCTAAGCATTTCAGGGGACCTTTAACAAACACACAAAACACTTTGATATTCAGCATAATACAATGCCACAGATCACTATTTTCCAAAGACACAAAATTAGATCAATTAACCTCAAAACTGTGTTGACTGATTCCCCAGTGTTGACATTCAGATGAAATGACAAAATTAAAAAAAGCCATTCATCAAATGTGCTGAGATGAGATTTTGTGCCATCAATGGTCAAGAGAAACAAAATATGGTGGCATGGTCATCTTACTCTGTAAAGATAAGAGGCATATGCTTATAGGTCCATCTTAAAGTTATAATAAAGAATTACAACTGACAGACTGCAATCTTTTATGTGTAAATTGTAGTCATCCGAACCAATGAACAGCTATTATTCACCGTGGTACAGCAAAGACCATATTCGCCTATAAAGGTCTCATCCTGTACCAGCCTAACCCATTCATTGCAGCCATAGGCTTCCCGCTTGTTTATGATTAATGTTATAATAAAATCAAAAAAAAAAAAAAAACTCTGAAGTGTACTTTTAATGTCACATCTAATTAATGAAGATAGAGGAAGACATTAACTATTTGCATTTAATCACACAAGACCTGACACCTTCAAATGCTGATGAATGTAATGGGGATCCTCTTTTTGCACTGCATTTTCAAGGAACTAATTGAAGGAAGTTTGAGCCGCACTCAGGCCCTGTGAGAATAGCATAAACATCCTCTGGCTGAAGACACTAATGGGATGCAGTTCTAACTACCGGGTCAAAAGGTTCAGATTTGTTTTTCCTTCTAGTTTTGAGAGATGCTAAATTTACTTGCAGTTTGCAGGGAAATCTATCATCAGAAAAAGACAGTGTTGGAGCAGTGTGTAACGGAAGAGGTCTGACACAACAGGTTAGTATATATAAAACTGGTTTATTTGGTCACAGAGAGTACTGGGGTAGGGTCCAGAGGAGGTGATGGTGAATGAATAGTTCGAAGGATATGATGAGTGGGGGAATCCGAGTCTTTGGCTTTACAGGAGCTGGTGTGTAGGCAGGAGGAGCACACACCTCAGCGATCCGTGAACAAGGAGGAACAGGAGACACTTGGAGACGAGGAGACACTAGGAGGAACACAGGAGGTAAGTAATGCAAGAAGTATTCAAAGGAATTCAGTAGCAAAGTCATTAAGTCCTCTACGTGTAAACGAGACCGGACAGTGAGGGTGTCTGAGGTGTGTGCTTTTATGCAGGCTGGTTAATGAGGTGCTTGATTAGTGACAGGTGCTGGTGCTCAGAACTGGGATCGTTGTGATCGTTGTGATTGGGTGGTGGCGGAGCCTGGCCGATCTGTTACAATATAAACACATATTTGTGGTAATCGTGGTAATCAACAATACGCCACAAATGTTGTCAATTGAGCTAAGTTTCTGCCATCATTTGCAGGTCAATATCACTGTGCGGTGCCTTTTGGTGTCCTGTACATAAATTACTAATTTGCCATGATAACTTAACATAAAAATGACTATGAAAGGGTGTGTTATATCAGGCTAAGTTGTTATATTCATTCCAAAAGCATTACTTGGCTCTTTAGATAAATTTTCTAGATTTGTTTTAGTTTTGTGTAAGAGGATGCGTGTAATTTTGCTATGTCCCATGCACTGCTCATTAAATTTGAATGAGAGTAGAATATAGTCAAATCATAAAATTTAAAAAAATTACTCAATTTGAGTGTATCGATCATTTGGTAATAAAAAAAAATATATTTTTATTTAATAAAAAAGACCGCGAAATATTTGGCATGCTAAATATCTGGAGCTGTCGGCGATTCACAATTACGTTGTGTGAAATGATTTCTGACTGAAAAGGTCATATTTTGTCATGCTTTGTGTGTTCTGTTTTATGTGTCCACCCCATCGCGTGCTGGTCCACCCTGTCATCTTGATATTTTAAAATAATATTTTAAATAATAATTCAATCATATCTATATAATCCAATGTGTTCAATAGCTAGGTATGGGGGCAATAGCAAAAACTGCATCCAAATATCACAGTTTTCTCCAAATAAGAAAAATACATGTACGAATTGTATGAGTTTCTTTAAAAACTCATGGTTTACATAAAATCTTTTATGTATTTATAATTTGAAAGCTAACAAATAACCCTGTTTAAGAAAGAGACATCATACCTTTCAGAAAATATAATTTGCATCTTAATATTGCAATGAAAACATATTTAACAGTAAAATATACACTCACTGGCCACTTTATTAGGTACACCTTGCTAGTACCGGGTTGGACCCCCTTTTGCCTTCAAAACTGCCTTAAGCTCGGTTTGACCTTCAGCAAGTCGTCTTCACCACATCTAGATGCCTAAATGCATTGAGTTGCTGCCATGTGATTGGCTGATTAGCAATTTGTGTTACCAAGCAATTGAACAGGTGTACCTAATAAAGTGGCCGGTGAGTGTATATCCATGACAGGATGGACATATCTTATGGTTTATGCTTCGAATAATGGCCCATAATTATCAAAATATTATTACAAATGACATATTACAAAATGTGTGGGTATTGTGAGGGTTGAAAGGCACTCTATGGTGATATTGACACTTACTCACATTTCTTTCTTTCTTTCTTTCTTTCTTTGACATGGATATTTATTTTGGATTACCATCACTGTAAACTTACATTGAACCTGAAATTTGTTACAGAAACAAATTTACTGTCCACCTTCTGTGAGCACAGTGTTGGAAGTGTGAAAAATCACATGCGACTAAGAGAACTCAAAAGCCTCTAATTTGTGTTTTTACCTGCTGGAAGCTACATTTGTGGTAATTACTGACCAGCCTCCATGTGCCCTTTTAAAGAGCACAGATGACACAATTAGTATGGCGTGAAGATTGCCTGGCTGCTCCTGGACACAAGTACACGCACACACACACACACACACACACACACACACACACGCCTACAGACACAGAGACAAAAAAGGCCTGCAGTTTTGCTGGCACACCTTGACAGTGAATGATTACTATGCTCTGTGTTTTGTGAATGACGACGAACAACTCCTGCAAGCCAAATGCGTTCCCCTCCAAGATAACGTCCTTGAGCTCCTCCACAAAGTGATGTGAAGAAACGAATGATAAAAACTTTGCAGTAACAAGCTGTTCAGATAGCACCCTTTTCTGACATGCGATTTGAAAAGCAGACAGTGGGATACTGGGCACTTTGCTAGCCAAGCCTCTTAAAGTCTTCTGCTTAGACAGTGTAATTATTACAATCACCTCACCTCTTTTTGAGAGCAGACACCTGCATGCCGTGAACCACTTCACGAAGCAACTTGGGATGTTACTTAAAGAGAGAGAGTGCTCTTATCTCTGATCTGTCAATGCTTTAGTGAGTACACCCAGCATGCATTGCTCCAAAAACAGCACAAAGTGCAGGTGAATTTTTTAAAATATGCAGGTAATTTAGGTGTGCATTCACCTATCGTGTTATTTGCTTTGAAAACAATAATAAAGTGTAGAGGTCTGTTCCTTTTCACATACTTTACCTCTGTACAATTTTATGCCATTTTTGTAGAACAAGGAGTTTGAGTAATGTGTTCACACTGAACAATGTAATAAGACAGTGTATCCAGAAAAAGCACTTGTTCAGTTGACAGAGTTGGCATTTTAGGCACTCATGCACTTCATGTAACAGTACGGGAGGGGTTATCTAGCCATGATGGTGGATTGACCAAAAATCGTCAAGATGGCGGATGTGGTGACTGCTGAAATTTCTCAGTGGGTGATAAGGCTGGTCCTCTGGGTGTTGGTGGTCCACTGATTAATGCGAAGACAGGTCAGGTGACCATGAGGAGAAGAGATAAGACCTGTCCGGATGCCCTTGGACATTTTGCTGCCTTGGTGAGGCTTCTGTGGAGGGCAAAATGACAGAATCTCTCTGGAGTCACTGTAGATGTGAATGATTGCAGCAAAAAGAGACAGTGATGTGCTCTTTGTCATTGCCAGTTTGCCATGATGTTTGAAGCAAGAATCAATCCTCTTGTTGGCCGCCTCATGGAGACTGTCGATAGTCACCTATTATCAGGCCGTGTGGTGATTGACAAAAAAAACAGTGGCACCTTCAGTCTGTGGAGAAGACAACACCTTACAAATCTAAGTTGAATGCTTTCACATTCTTTTTAAATATGTGTATAATGTGCAATATGTAAAAGCCCATTCTTTAGGTATACAGCATATTTTATACTGTAAATATTGTCTTTGAAAGTCTCTTATGCTCACGAAGGTTGCATTTATTTTTTTATCAAAAATACAGTAAAAACAGTAATATTGTGAAATATTATTCAATTTAAAATAACTGTTTTCTATTTTAATGCATTTTAAAATATTTATAAAATATATATTTGTGGAAACTGTGATAGATTTATTTTCAGGATTCTTTGATGAATGAAAAGTTCAAAAGAACAACATTTATTTGAAACAGGAAGCTTTTCTAACATTATGAATGTCTTTATTGTCACTTTTGATCAATTTAATGCATCCTTGCTCAATAGAAGTATTTCTTTCTTTTTCTTTCTTTCTTTCTTTCTTTCTAAAAAAGAAGAGAAGAGAAGACCAGTGTCATACTGAAAGCCAATAAATGTTTCTATGTAGTAAAAAATTGCATTAGTGTTCCATTTTAAAATGATATAACTCTTCAAAAATTCATATACTGTGTGGCTGAGTGTATAGTGTTAATGCACTGTATATAGTACATGATTTAGTGCACTACATTTGTAATTTGTTTCTCCGGTAGGGACCACTTAATTCACTATTTAATTGCATGTGTTAGCTATTAGCTAAAAGCCATTACAACTAGCAAGTGGTGGGGTAAATCACCCCAAAATACAGGGATTATCTAAGCAATAAATGAATCAAGGTGAAGAGAAAATCCATTGTCTAATAGCTTTTGCTGCACATGAGGCAACTAATGTACCCTAAGCTGGTTGGGCTCAAGATCAGCCTCGGGGATCAATGTTCTTAAGCCCAATCAAAGCAATTCCATCACATTATTTGGCTAGACTAATTGCTCAGACTAAAAAAGTGCAAAGTTTAGGCCTAATAAGATTGACCCGTAGAATAAATGTGTTCCCTTACTTTAAAGATTATGCTGACTTCTCTTATCCAGGGGTGATTGTTAAATGAACATTTCCTGTGCATCCACTTCTAATCGCCATTGCCATAAAATCATTGCTTGTGTGTATTTCACAAGAAAACTGCTGTTTCCCCAGTGTCTTTGATTTAAAGGCACAGATTTCTGGATCAGCCAGTGTGTTTCACACATTATCGCAGTTTGTCACGTATTGTGCAAGTCTTTGCTACCCATTAGAGAAAGTCCAGCCTCCAGTCTTGTCAGTGGGTGTCTGGGTGATCAGTGCACTGGTCCTCTGGGTGTTGGTGGTCTGCTGACTGAGTCTCGGTCTTCCTAGATGGGCCAGGAGACCACAAGAAGAACAGATAAGATCTGCCTAGATGCCCTTGGACATTTTGCTGCCTTGGTGATGCTTCTGCAGAGTGCAAAATGGCAGAATCTCTTTGGAGAAGCTGTAGACGCGATTGATCGGAGTGGGCAAAAGAGACAGTGATGTACTCTTTGTCACTGCCACTCCCCCACGGCGTGAAAGTTTAAAGCAAGAATCAATCCTCTCGCTGGCAGCCTCATGGTGGCTGTTGATAGTCATAAGTGGCTGACCTTCCCATCAAAGTTTGTGCCCCTCATCAGGCTCACGTACTCTGGCAGATATTGCTTGGAAAGCTGCATATATCAATCCTGTGCTAACACAGCCAGTGCAGAGAGAGGGATTGTCATGGTGACAGGGCTTTGAGGGTTTTTCACAAGAGCTGAAGTGTTAATAAATCTAATAACACCACCGTCAGTGGCAGATGTTCAACAGAAGTTAGCATTTAAATGCAAAAACATTATTTTTTAAGCTCCGCTATGCGCTGAAAATACACTGAGTTAAAAGTCATAATCATCCGTATCAACATTCCCCAGTTTGCACAATGCAGACGTTACTGTAAGTAGCAGATTGTATTGTTTCATATCTTCCCCAACAGATATTATGCTCTTCATTTACAGTGCTCTGCACTCAGTCGTGCATAAGGACAGTAATTGGTCTTGTAGCTACTTCAGAGGCTTTTCTACTTAAAAGTATGATGCTCAGAACTGGTCCCTGCTGAGAAAATGGTTATCTCTCGTTCCCACTTCACCACTAAGAGTCTGTCTCCCTTTTCCTCAGGCTCTACACCACTGATCACAACCACAACCTCTCTCTTTAGATATGGTATGTACTACATGGAGCGAACATCATCCTTGAAGCCATGAGCTACATTTCAAGCTACACTGTGAAAAGTAAAAAATACTGCAGTTGTGAAAGAAATTAAATTTGAGTGAGTCATCAGATTTTTGCAAACTGATTTGTTTCTACTCACAAATTCATTCAGGAATCAAACAAGTAAGCATTCACAATTTTTGTTGGCAGAGCAAAAATACACACAGTAGCTGACAATATTGTATCTAAAATGTACTTTACATAGTATTCACACTATTAACTAGTTGCTTATTTGCATGCCTATTAATAACATATTGGCTGTTTATTATTACTTATAAAGCACATATTCTGCATGACCATATTCTACATCCCTAATCCTACCGAATACTTAAACTTAACAGCTACCTTGCTGACTATTAATAAGCAGTAATTAGGAGTTTATTGATGCAAAAGTCGTAGTTAATGTTTTGTTAAAAGCGAGAATTGGACCTTAAAATAAAGTTTTAACGTTAAAGTTAAAGTTCAAACTTATTGTGACACTCTCCAATAAAATCAATATTACACTTCCAAACCAGCATCCAAAACAAATATTTGTTGTATTCTGGGTAAACTTTAGTGGTCACTGACTTTAGTGGCCTGATGAAATTTGATTTGGATAAAATGTAACCCAAGTTAATTAAGGGCACTGAATCAGTAGAGGTCATGACACAATTGGTTGAGTAGGCAATAGCCATAATGTGCCCTTCAAATGACTAGCTTCAAATATATCAGCTTTATTTTTGGGTAAGCCCACACCTTGCTCATTTTGAACTTTAAAACCTTCATTAAACACAGATTTGTGGGTTGCACTACATTAAAAGATTAACTTTTCTCTGTCTCTTTTCCCACCAAAATCAGCCTGGCTCCTTGACAGGCAAAGCCTTTTTATAATGAGATACATCTACGCCCCACTCTGTTCAATCAGTCTTCTCAGGTAGTCCATTTCCTTGGCTGTGGGAGGTTGTGAAATATTCAGGAGCATGCATCAGTACTCCTATTATTGAAATCAGCAGCTACTCTTTTTAAAAGGTGTAGCCATTAATCAGTCATTACCGGAACATTGGCTTTATTATTTGCTTCATTACCAAAGCTCTACCTCTGGCAACCACCATTCTGTGTGCATGAGTGGAATCTAATGCAGCAACTAGCGCCATTTTTCCATCATTATGTGAGTGCTAGAGGTCTATTGTTGGAGATTACTGATAATGTTTTCAGCCTTCAACCTTACAGCCTTCTATTGTATACAGCCTTTCAGGATTAATTAATTGTGTCGCCATGCTTGTGTCTGAAAGGCATGTGAATGAAAGGCTTAAGACTTCAGGTGAACCTAATGAAAGTTTTGCACAGCATTTCTAGTATGTAAGCATTCATAAAGGTGCTAAGCTTCAATTATATCTCAAGGCGACTCTACATTTCTAATGACCAGCACTGAAGGGATAAGAGAATTCATAGAGATCTAACAGGCCGATAACCAATCCACGACTGTCCCAGCATGATGACTTTTTATCAGCCAGATTTAGAGAGACCCCCTAACAAGATTCATTGCTTTTCTTTTGCAGAATTAGGAAGAGTTATCTGCAAGAGCGGTCAACTGGAGGGAGACCTTTGCAATTATCATATCGTTGTCAGATATCGATTTCACCTCCATCTTAAAGAAGGGGTATCAAAAGAACATCCAACACCAAACAAAAAAGAATTTCTCATAATCATTCGTCGCATCGCCTTGCTCGGCTGAGAAATGGGTGGAAATTATTTTCCATTTAGGGCAATTGTGCTGCTGCTCAATACAAAGCCATTATTGTCCTCAAGATATAGAGTAACATCTCTGTAGAGGAGCAGCCGCCATCACGTGGGAGTGTAAAAGCAGCTGTGATGGATGTTGTTTAAATGTAATGACTGAACTTGCAGTCAGCACAGTAGAGGAGGAGAAGGTAGAGACCATTGTGTGTGGTGCTTATTGGCTTCTGTTTTCACTTGGCATAGTCAACTGAAATCGAGATGGGAAATAAACTGCCTTGCCAAGCCCTGAAAGAAACTCGCAAACTGAATATCGCTATGAAAAAATAAGACTCTCTTGACTTGGCCAAATGCAGCTGCGGCCGGCACGGTTATTTATTTGGCCGTAAATCAATGTACCACGATGCCACCGGCACAATTTTGGTGGTGGATTTGAAAAATGGCAGCTATTATCATTACTATTTGAGCACAATCAGCCTCATGTCTCCAAGCTGATTAGGAGTTATCCTGAATGGCTCTGATTGTGTAATGATCAGCTAATTACAAAGAGCACAGTCCCATGCTGTGGTGAATTCAGCCTAGCTGCTAATGCCAGTCTGGCAGAGTGAATAATGCAACACCCCATAAGAGTCTCGCTCATAATAGTGCTACAGTAATGGTATTAGAGCACATAGCAATTGATGTTTGTTTGTTTTTTCTCATGTGTTCTTTTCTGTGGATGAAATGTTCGCCTTGAATATCTCTTTGTAAATATTGCATCATATATCAGTCACCAATGTGTATTTACACACAGTTGGTAAGCGATCTGTGCAGCTGTGATGCATATTGCCAATGAATAATAGAAAACAGCAAAGCAGAGTGCCATGGCTGTAGCTCCAATCGTTTTTATTATACCTAAGCATGAGCTACTGCAATTAACAAGAGTAAAAGCACAATCATCTCCTTAACTAGCATATGAGGAGGACTTTGAGGAAGTATTTATTTTATGTAATATATCTCCTTGTAGAAAAATACTGGCAAACAATCAATGCAAATATACTGTAAAGTTCTCTAAAGCATGTTGGGAAGATACAGTGA